CAAAGTCATATCATCTGGTGAGAAAGACTGTGCTCAGCAGTAGCACTGTGCCTGACCGAAGGGTGCAGAAGGTGTCCAGGAGACTGAAGGGGACAAGATTGTAGGAATTAAGAAGAATGTGAGCAAGGCCAGTTTCAGGAAAAATAATTAGATAAGAATAGACTAACTTGTTAGAAATTTCTCCACCAAACAAATTGCTGAAGAGTATAAACGAATGTAAACGGAGAAGGCATCAGACCTGCTGATACCTAAAGAGTTAATGGCAAAATGCTCCATGTCTTGATCTTGACTTTTTTTTCAGTGCAGCAGCTCTCAACATGTGGTTCAGAGAACACTAGTTGTCTACAGTACCTTTCCTAATGAGCCGCAGAATGAACCACTTTGAGAATCAGGCACTGGGGGATTGAGAGAGGAGGTGATCCATTGACAGATATTTCTCTTACAAAGTGGCTTGTGGGATAAAAGGGCTGAAGAACTACTGTTTTGGTGTGCATGAGGCAAGCTATGAAAGCCAGGGGACCAGATAAAGAGTTCGGATGGACAGTGACAACTGAAAGAAAAATATGTTTTTTATATGCTCATTTTTCAAATTTTCCTCAGGGCTGGGAAGATGAAAGGGAACCTGGGCTTTTGACACATGGCATATTTTTAATAGGTCTGAAAGTGCATAAAGTCTGAGAGAGTATTAGAGAAGAAATGGGGAGTGCAGACCAATTTACAAAATGTTCACAAGCTTAGCCTTGAGCCAGAAGCTGGGCTTAGGCTGATTTAAACCTAACATTCAAGCCTAAGCCAAATGCATTGTAGCACGTTCTGCTTGGTCTGTCTCCTTTCTAATCTAAATTTAACTCTCTTTTTAGGTATATATCTCCCTTCTACATCCTGTGAAAGGCACAAACATGGTAGCAAAAACTTACATCTTCTGGTTATAAAGCCAGTAAGGGTGCCAGCCTGGCAAAGAGACGAGACAAAGCCAGCAGTTTGTAGGATCTGCAGATGACCACCTTATATATATTGGCCCTTCCAAATGGCTGCACGAAGGAGGGTCAATGCACAGTGACATACTCTTATGTCTCTCAACCTTTGTCCTCTCCTGGCGAGTCAGGCCACCCACCCCAATTTGCACAGAGCACTGTGTGTGCAATATGGCATGTTGGTTCCATTATCTATATGTATGCTCACTTGCTTTCTTTTTCATTTAATTAACGTGGCTTTACGCCTCTTCAGTCTGTGCTGCAGAAGGGAGCAAGTTGTAAAATGGGGAACCAGGACTGAACTTGCCTCAGTCAACAGGTGGGGGTCGATGTCCCTTTGGAATCAGTATTTGTTTTGTTGCTGCTGTGATGAATGATAATTACACATGCTTATTGGGAGAACAGGGGCTTTTTATCACTCCAATCAGTTCAGATGATATTGGCTCACTCAAGTGGGAAGCAGGAAATGTACAGCTACCACTTAAGTATTATCTTGAACAGATAGGGTCAAGCTTAAGTGTTGTCCTGAATCAGAGCCTGAACGAGCTCAAAATTTAAGAAAAAATATTCTCAAAATATGAGACAAAATTACCATCACTGTATAGGCAGAGTTCATGTACTTTGTCTCTTACTATCATTTTCTTTGTTCTTTGTTCAATTTTAATAAAAAGGTTGAGATCTATCTATCTATCTATCGATCTATATTTTAAGGGTGTGCGAAGCAGGCCCTATTTGATTTGGATTCTGCCTGAATTGGATTGGGGACAGTGATTCGATTTGTTGATTTGGATCACTGTCCCTGATTCAATTTGGCCAAATTTGAATCTGAAGATTCGATGCTGATTTGGAGAATCAGCGATTCAGACATAGACACAGCTTTAAATATTTTTTCTACGTACCTTGAGGTACCAGGTGCAGCTAGTGAACACTGCAATGCTGGGGCAGATGGAGCATCCCACAGGAGTGCAGGGGGTCCCCCTCATGCTTGGCGTTGAACCCAGAAGTGGACCAGAAGTACTTCCAGTCCACCTATGAGTCTGCCAGGGAGTGTGCAGGGGGCTCCCCCCATACCTTCCTGGCTCGGCAGTCACCATGGGGGGACCCCATGTGCCCCCCAGACCCAGGAGGCACCAGTCACCAAGCCGGGGGGAGCGGAGGCACAGAGGAGCCCCCTGCGTGCTCTCTGGCAGACCTGAAAGTAGACCAGAAGTGCTTCTGGTCCACTTTCGGGTCTGTTGCCAAGCATGCTTGAGAGCCCCCTGCGCTCCTGTGGGACACTCCATGTGCCCCAGCATCACAGCACTCATGAGCCATCTGCTACCTAGAGGTATGTAGAAAAAACGTTTAAAGCTGTGTCTATATCTGAATCACCGAATCTCTCTGAATCAGTTCAGAGGGTTCTGGAGAGATTAAAGGGTTCTCTGATTCCAAACTGAATCAGCATTTTGGCCACTGAATCAGGCCAAATCGAATCAGGGCCCAAAGCTTCGCAGACCCCTAATATATATATGTATGTGTGTGTGTGTGTGTGTGTGTGTGTGTGTGTATACTTCATGAGTGTACATGTACATGTCTGTGTGTGTGTGTGTGTATATATAGCTGGGCAAGCTTCCCCCTTCCCTGCTCCTGGGAGGCTGCGACAGTGTGGGGTGGTGGGTGGCAGCACTCCATCTCTGGCCCCCATATCATTCTTGAGGGGCAATTGGCTAGTGTGTGTGTGTGTGTGTGTATATATATACATATATATATATTTATATGTACGTATGTATGTATGTATGTATGTATACACACATATATGTATATACGTGTACACACATTCATAAAGTATATAGATATACTAGTCATAATAAAACCCTGCAGCAAGAGTGACTTATTTTCCCCTGGAGAGTAACAGCTTAGGCTAGGGACAGTGGGGCTCATTTGCTCTTATTTTGCACAGAAGTTCTGTATGCAAATGATGACTTTTGCATGCAGAAGGTCAGTTGAATTAACTCTTACTTACAGCATGCATGATTCCAATTTTTTTCTGTAATTCTAATAGTGGAAAAGTGAGACAAATCCATGCCCCGGGCATTTAAACTTAACTAACTTTGCTTTTCTGCTGATACATTTTCTCATTAACTTGTTAAAGCTAACATATTAACTCCTGGTACTAGCATCTGAAAGAGCTGGTGGAAATGGCCATTAATATTTTGGCTGTGGGAATATCTGATGCCTGTTGGAATTCACCGGAATATACAATGGCTGTAAATACAAGTAGAGATAATATATTTCCATTTTTATTTCATTAAAAAAAGAAATGGTTTCTGAAGAGTCTGAGGCTCTTTATATAACAGTTGATCTTACAGTACTGTATTTAAAATGTTACAATGTTGACTTGCTGTTACAAGTATTCAGTGTTACAGGAAATCAGAAACAATATGGAACAGTTTACACTAACTCTGCATTAAAATGTTCCATCTGTTCTTGCTTTGGGTTCTTAGAGAATTGCTTTTTCATCTCTGTAATGCTTTTCACTTCCTATTAGTAAGGCTTTTAAAGGTAGACACTGAGTTAGTATAAAACCCACAACTTTTGAGTTTAAATGCCTATTAAAAGTAAAGCTGTCTGAAACTACAATAAAAATTTATTTTGGCTACAAAAGACAACTTTGAAACCTAACCCATCTGTATTTTTCCTCCCCCAAACAGTGCAACATCCTGTATAATAGAATATTTATCTTAAACACAGACCACATATCTTTATGAAAACAATTGTTTCAACTTAATTTATAGGGGGTAATCAGCTCATATTAAGGTTTCCAATAGTTTGTGTTGCTAATATAAAGTTGTTACATTACAGATCTAATGCAATAGTTGTAATTTCTCTGAATACTGATATTGCAGTTGATGCTTTATATTATCTTTTGTATATTATAACCTAAAACGTTATATAAATCTGCACACAATTGGCACAGGGGAATTTACTTTCAGGTAATTGTGCATGTAAATCAGGCCAAAATTGCATCCATATTTTACTGATAATTTAGGTTCATGCTGTGATATCCAAATTTATTATAGACTTGACACAATAAATATTTTAAGTAATACTTTCATCTGTTTCTGTAGTCACTGCACACACAAAACTCCCATTGACTTCAGCAGGAGTTACCACACATGTCTATAAAAGCTGCTGGATTAGATAATTTATAATCTCACACCAAGAGCAAATTATCTCACTGTGAAGGGCAGTCTATGCTTGATGCACACAAAACAGCAATTGACATACGTGGGAGTTATGTACTTATATCAAGGAGAGGACAGACCCCTGGAGTTGTAGGCTTCTTCCATACAATGGTTTGTCAAAGTCTGAATGCAACAGAGCCTGTTTTTAGCACTCTCTAAATATAACCAGATCT